TAAAATTAATTCGTGCCGGGTGCGGTTAGTAACTGCTCCTGGTCATTTAAAATCGCGCAAAGATTTCCAGCCTTCAAGTCTTTCTACCTCAAATTATTATCCAATTCCAGACTGATTTTTCAAGACGGAGCGAAGCATAGACTCGAAAATAAATTATAAAACTTTTTCCAGCTTGATGCGCTTAGTGCTGGCGATGCTGCGCAACGTAACGTTCGCCAGCGCCCGTTTCACGCTCGTCTATCGAGCACCCCGTATGAACCAGAGACAGAGGTACCAACCACGCCAGCTACGCCTCGCGCAAAAATCGTAATCATTTTTTTCTCAGTGCTGTTAATTAAACTTTGAGCTAGAATTACTCGCGACGCGACGTGCTTGTTTTACCGCGAAAAGTTTTTGAAACTTCCAGATGTACTTGTGCTGGATTCGTAGTGACTCGTTAAGGGAATCTGTAGCAGTGGATTAGTTTGCGTTACCTCCCACGAGAGGCCAAATTTTCAAGAAATGCTACCGAGCCGAACTACGATGATAAGCGAAGATAATCGAGTAATCCAAAAGATAATAATAACTAGGCCGTGGCGAGGGTTCTGATGGCTCACAGTTGCATGAAATATTTAAGAGTAAGCTGAGATCCTATCATACTTAGGCATACTGACAATTAATCAGCAAATCAATCATTAATCAGTAGATTTTTGAACCAAAGCAACTCATCTCGAGAGCAGCGGGGCACTTGTCCTGCCAATGCAATACTATTACAACAGGTATATTTTGAAATTGTTCGCTCCACTGCTGATGTAGAGAAAATGTGTTTGCAGCTGAGCGTCACGTATACGGATCCGACTCGTGGTAGCATGGTGGTTACACGACGTCGCGCCAACGGCCACCTGGATGTTCGCGTTGTTTACAATCGTGAATTCATTGTGGCAGCAGCGGCCAGTCCGCTTGCAGTGTTACCGCCAGCGAATTTCCGAGAAATGGTACTCGAGATGACCGATGTTGTTGCCAAATTTCCAACAAGCTTCTACAACAACATTCAGCAAAATGATGTCGCCAGTTCACACAGTTTCACAAGTTTGAGCCCCGCTAACCCGAAATAATTTCTCGATTTGAACAAACTTCTGCTGAAATCTTGTGTTCACCCATTCTACTCTACCCTCCTCCACTCAGCGTCTAAAAAAGGTCTAATTTTACGGGAAAATTTTTTTCCACTTCTTTTTAAATTAAAATTTGAAAGCTCAAATCCATATCGTCTCTGAAATTTCAGTGAATGGGCGACTCGGGATTTCCGGAACTG